GCTGGCAGAAGCGCTATGCGATGCTGCTTGACGAACTGCACCCCCACAAAGTCCGCGTTGCTTCCAGAGTCGATTGTAATGGGGACTTCCAGGGTGGTTCCATTCGGCAACTGGAGTGTTGCAGTGAGCTGCACCGCTGGCTTGGGTGGTAAAGGGTCTGTGTGCTGCAAAGGCGCTGGGGACTGCTCTACAGACTCGCCTGGCTGAGCCCCAGCATCGCTGTCTCCAGCCAGGCATCGTCGTTTCCCTGAGGCTGCTCTTCGTGCAGCACGTCTGCTGCCACTGTTGCTAACGCTGCAGTGTGCTTCTGGAGCCTCTGGGGACACTCTTTAGCCATGTGCTGTGGACTCTCACAGATGTAACATTTCCTGTTCCCTCTAGGAGGCTTCGCCTTTACTGCACCGGACGTTGGGGCTCTGGCTGCTGTCTGAGCCTTAGCGCCGCCAATCTCCATCGGTTCCTCCCCCTGCCGCACCAGAGGCGAGGGATGTGCCTGGCCGAACTCCCTGGGGATAAAAGGAGGTGCCCTTGCTGGCGCACGCACCTGGCGACCTTCCTCACTGTGCCAAGGACGTTCTTCGTGTCTCACTCCAATCGCAAGAGCCCTCTGTACTACGTCTGCTCTGAAACTTGGGTAGTGCTTCAGGTTCCCATCGAAGTGGGCAACTAAACTGCCCCCCCGCCTTCCAAGTCCAATTCCCTCTGATCTGGATCTTGGGAACCCCTCTATGCATGCACGCTCCCACCTGGTTTGCAGATCCTGGCAGCGCTTTTCCGCTTCGTCACTCTTCTTCTGAGATGCAACGACCGCAGCGGAGAGCTCGGTGACTGCGTTCCGCAGTGCTGTCATCTGTTCCTCCGCACTCATGGCTGCCACACTTCGTGAGCTTTGCAAAAAAAAATTTTGCGTTCTTTTTGAGAAGGGACTTACTGTCAGGGCCACCCAAGGTCCCAGCTCACAAGAGACCAACGCCAAGTCCAGCTTATGTACAAAAGCTTTTATTGAAGAACATTGTTAGCTCCACATCCGAGGCGCGTGACCCCACGTCTGTTAGGCTTAGACCGCTGAAGTCCCTTCTGAATCAGTCCCGCCTCTACACCAGTTTAAGAGGCTTGCGCTGGACCACCTCTTCCTCTCCTTCCTTTTCCGCAGGGTCTTTCTGCCCCCCTGGGTTCCCTCCCTCCGGGATTCCCCAGAGGCTGAATCCTCTGACGCCTGCTCCCCCCTCCTCCGTGCCTTGGGACCAGGCTCCTCCTCCGGGCTCTCCTCACTTCCGCGCGCCTCCACATTTGAACTTGGCGCGCGTACGCTGCTTCTGACCTTCCTTTTGGCAGTTACACTGCTCTCGGTACTACTCTCCGCCCCTTCCGGCAGGACGTCTTGCCCCGATCTCCTTCCCCTCTCTGCTTCCTGCTCTGCTCCGTCTGACACACTGGGAACTCCACCCCCTTCACTCCGTTCCGGCGGAGAAGCCGGTCCCGATCTCCAACTCCCACTGGGGGTTCCCCTGCTGCTGCCCTGCTCCTGACTACTCCCCCCTGTGGCTCCCCTTGGCCTGACCAGGGGCGCTCCCTTTTGGGAATCCTCCGATTCACTGGAGAGACTCATGGAACCCCTCGACTCATTGTCATCTTCTTCCTCGTCGCCCTGGGATCCTTCCCCCTCGCTCTCAGTCTCCTCCCTCATCTGCGCCTCTCTCCCTGAACCCCTGACATAAGGTGTCATTCATCCTCCATCTGAAGGAACCGGTTGTTATTTGCTTCATCTCCATCCTTACAGCGTTATGGTCGGAGCAGGTTTTTGGGCAGATTTCCACTTTCTTTATCTTTGGTGCCATTCCTCTAGTTATCCATATTTGGTCAATTCTAGTCCATGTCATCTTGGCTTCAGAAAAAAAGGTTCCCTCTCTCCCCAGAGGGTTCTTTGCTCTCCAAATGTCAATCAAGTCCATATTGTCAGTCAATTCAAAGAAGGTTTTCGGTAGTCTACCATCTTTGGTGACTAACTGTCTTTGTGCCTTGTCCATGTTTGTAGATACTACTCCGTTCATATCCCCCATCAGAATTAAATTATAGTCCAAGTAATCCAGTAAAGTCTCATGCAACTTCTTAAAAAATTCAGATTTCCCCTCATTCGGTGCATAAACTCCTACAATCAAAAATTTCTCTCCTTGAACTTGAATTTCAATTGCTAAAAATCTTCCTTGCTCATCTTTAAAGATTAATTTTGGTAGTAATCTCTCCTTTGCATATATCACAACTCCTCTTTTTTTAACTTTATCAGATGAGATAAATTCTTGTCCCAATCTCTTATTAATAAGTATTTTCCTATGTAAACTCATTACATGTGTTTCTTGTAGACAAATCAAGTCCAATTGTTCCTTTTTTAATATATGAAAAACACTTTTTCTCTTCCGAGGGGAGTTAAAACCATTACAACTCCAACTGCAGAGCCATGATGATGGGGTTACTTCACTTTACCTCCAACTGCTCCAAGTAACTGTTCTTGTTCTGTCGGTGGTGTCTCTTTCCCTGGACTGTGCAGTCCAAAAGATAAGTTTGCTATATCAAGTATTCCTTTTTCCCGTGCTTTGCCATTTCCGCCTACTCCATCCATTTGGTCTACCCTACTTCTCTGGTCGGTCCTTTGTCTTCTTTCCACCTCTGGGCTAGGAGCATCCGTGCTGCTGTTGCCGCATCCATCCATAAACAGTCTTTACTTATCTCTTGGTAGTTCGGCACCTGTTGTTCCTAATAAAAAAGCTTCTGCTTTTTAAACAAAGTTATCATAACTTTTTTTTTATTTCTTTATATATCATTTCCCAGAATTCTTTTACCACCCCACATGTCCACCACATGTAATAAACTGTACCTTCCTTCTTCTTTCGTTTCCAACACATTTCAACATGTTCTGTAAATTTTTGCTAGTTTACTGGGTGTCAGGTCCCGATGATACATCATTTTCATGTAATTTTCCTTCAACGTACAGCAAGCTGTAAATTTTAAATTTTCCTTCCATAACTTTTCCCATTGTGAAAACTATATTATAACCAAAACCTCCTGCCCTGTGTATCATCACAGATTTAACTTCTTCTTCATCTTTAGTATACCATTCTAAAATCAATTTATACATTTTAGATAGTAATTTCACATTATTTTCCCAACAGATCTTTTTCGAATTTTGATATCTCCGTACTACAGCCATCTTTTTAATCAAGTTTCAAAACATCATTTAACTGATAATACTAAAACCAATCTGTTAGTAAATCTCTGATATCTTCAAACTTTTTCAACTTTAACTGATCTTCTACTTCTGTTAACAGCTCTTTACAGGTTGCCTCCTCTGTCTGCCACGTCCCTCCTTGAGGTCAAGGTGTCGTTCGCTTCGGCTCAGGGAGCTGTCTGAGCTGATATCCATTTTGGGGAACTGCAGAGGACGAGGGAGAAGCCCTGTTAGCAGCGCTGGGAAGGGAGGAGAGACTTCCCAGAGACTTCCCTACAACCTGGCCTGACGCTACAAGGCTCTCTTTGGCTACTCTGGCTTCCCTGCCTGGACTTCCCCCATCCTCTGTCACTTTTTCCGTGTGGGTCTTCATCCTCAGAGGTTGACTGTTGGCCCAGACAGGATGGAGGAACCAGCCCAGAGGTGGTGGCAGTGGTGGTGGGGAGAGGGGAGAAAGAGAGCAGCCCAGAATGAGACAGGCAGGAACCCAGAAGCCAAACTCTCCTGTCCGCATTGAGTAGCTGGCCAGGACAGGCCTGGCGCCTTGGGAGGCTGGTCCATCAGGACGAGTGGGGCAGCAAGCACAGCCTGCCCTCAGCAGCCCCCTGCCTGTCTGCCCCTTGCTCACAACTGGTCCAGAAAGTGGCCTCTTCCTTCCCAGCCTCAGGGTTGCCCTTGTGCAGCTCAGCAGGGCTTCCCTCCTGCTCTGTCTGCTCTGTACCTCACTTATGGAGTCCCAAAAAGAGTCCAGTGAGGACACTGAGCTGAGGGAGCTCTCGGGGGTGATTTTTGGCACCTGCGAGGAAGAGGGAAAAGTAATGCGTGTGCCATAAACAGCTCTTTCCCAAATATAAAAACCAGTAACAGAACATAGCTAGCCGCCCAGGTGCCTGGTGCAAGGCACGCGTCCTGAGGGTGGGGGGCACCTCTCTGCCGCCTCCCCCTCAGCTGTAAATCGGCTGAGGGAGAGGCAGAGGGCAGACACAAGCCCCACGCTGCTGTTTCAGGCAGTACCGGGCCTGCAGGCGCCCAAGCCCCCACGTCACTCCCAGGAAATGGTTTGCTAATTCTTGTCTACAATAAATAGGAGACAGAGGTGGTGCACAAGGTTTTTCTCATTTTGATCATAGAAGTAACATCATGATTTGGGGTAAACTGAGATGCAACGACCTCTCCACATCAACTGAACCCAATGTTTCCTTCCTTATCCTGAAGACACAGCTCTTTACCTTGACCTTCCTAATGCAAACAATTTTATTTCTTTTTAAAGTTTTATTTATGCATTTTTACAACTTATAATACACTTCATTTATCCTAGGACTTCATGGCATTCTAAGTAAACCTTAGTCAGCTGCATTTTATAATATTCTACCCATTTTCATCTCAAATCATCCTTGTTATCTGCTGGTCCCACTTGTATGTTAAATTGAACATTGTATCCTCAATGATATTCTCCAAAACAGTTCCACACTTCTGTTATTCATGATTTATCCTTATTTCTTAATTTTGCAGTAATAGTTACTAATACTGTCTATTCTACCAATTTATTCTGCCAGATTTCTTTCGTGGGTTCTTCTTTGTCTTTCCATTTTTTCACATACACCATTTTAGCTGCAACTGTCCCATATAAAAAGATATTGAGTGCTTAACGCAAACAATTTTCTATTGCTTCCATGGACTGCTCATAGTAATGAGATCCCAATGGTCCCTATATTGTCCTCTGATGTCTTCCTCCCCACTTGGCCGTGGATAGCAGAACAAAGGAAAAGGAGTCTTCTTACCACTTAGAAACTTTAATAATCACAGTGAGAGAACAAATAACACATCTCCTAGTAATTACAGAGCCCACCCCCTTTGGTCCGATGAACCTAGGTCGCTTCTATGTCTCCTAATCTGAGACTTTGGGGAGGGCAGTGGAAGAATGCTGTCTAGAGACTGTGAATCTGTTAACCCTCTCCCTGCCAGTGTTTCTTCTCCTAGCTGTTCCCCATCTAGTATTTCCCAACTTCTGCCTTCTGAACTATGTCCCTCTGCAAACCGCTGTTCCAACCCTCTACTCTGTTCCCGCAATTCCTCCTGAGTGCAGCCCTCCTCAGCACAGTCCCTGGCATGTGATCATTTTAATATAACGTATTGTTATTTTTGTATTCCGCTTTTTTTCTTGTGTCAAAATGAGAGTACCCCTAAACATTTTTTTAGAAAAAAAGCACTGCCTTATACCATAAAATTATATATCAATGGCAAGATAATTTTAATGAAGAATGTAAGGCAATAACTCTTATGAAGGATTATTTATCACAACAGCAGTCATACAGAAGAAGCGTGAAACACACAGAAAAACTGATATACAGGTTAAACTGCCATGTTGGTACTTTGCGAGAAATAAGTGGGTTTTGGGTTGCAGTTTGGGCCCTCGGTCTCTGGCCTAACCCTTCTACAACTGATCCGATTTCCCCTGTAAAAATACCAAACCATTTTATATGTAGCGGGAACTACACAGAATCATAGAATTGGAAGGGTCAACTAGTCCAACCCCCCTGCAATGCAGGAATCTCCACAAAAGTATCCGTGAAATAGGGCCTCTCAGTGGAGCCTGTGAGCCTGGAGTGAATCCTCTTCCTTTCTTAAAATATTGTGTAGTTTTGTTTTGTTTTTATTTCCAAAGGAAAAAGCTATTTGTTTTTGAAGGCACATTCTGGGACTTGAATCTGTATTCATAAACAGTTATTTTGCAGCAAAATGAGGATCTTACGCTCTGTTGCTTTTTCATCTCTGAATGTAGTCTAGGAGGAGGCAGGAGCCCTGAATGTGTGCTGCAACAGCAAGAAGGATGATGGAGAAGGAAGCAGGAAGGGTGCGGGGTGAGTTCGGATTCTGAGAGGTGCCCAGCAGGGCTCGTAGGGCCATTGTAGTGGCTTGGAAGGGCAGGAGGTAAACACAAATTCAGTCAAGTGGTGATACAATTGAATGAGTGGTTTATCCAGTCATTAAAAAAAACCATTCTCTTAGGTTGCTTTTGGTTCAGTATTTATCTTGAAAGTTATCTGTTTGCATGCGTTTCCTGCTGAACAGGAGTACCCCTCCTGCGGGCCAGGGACCCCACAGCAGCCCTCCCTCGCCTCTGCAAGTCTGGTTTTATTTTTCTTCATTCAGCTGCCGGACAACCCAGCAGCCTGGCCCGTTTGCCAGCTGATGTCACAAAGTGCTGCTTTGCAAGCAAGCCTTATAATGCCCTGCAAGGGGGGATGCCTGTCAGATGACAGTGAGAGTTGGTAGAGAAAGATGGATTCTCCAGGTAGGAGGCCTAGAGGAGATGAGTGGCAATAGTATTATTGTGAGGTGATGCTATTACAATTCCAAAGGGAATGTCAAGCAGGGAGGGAGGGGGGACAGAGAGAGTGGAATTCTGGTGGAGATGGAAGATGGAGGGAGGCTTGGAAAGGGAGTTTGAAGGAGGTCAGGTGAGAGTTGGTTGAGAGCGGTGGGTTCTAGAAGGGGGCCCGAGGGGGGGGGGCTGAAGCTGAGCTGGACTTAAAAGCAGCAGCACAGCCGCCATGGCTCTGAGCATGTGCAACTTGGCAGCAGGAGGATTCCCTTTATTCAGGTGAGCCATGGAGCCATGTAACCTCTTCCTTTTTTATTTTCCTTTCTGTCTCCTAGGACATAAAAGGCTGCTGAGACGGCAAACCATGAAGGAGGCTGGTGTGCCACTGAAAGAAACATTGGAGATTGTGGTAAGTTAATTGCATGGGGAAAGGGAGTTTGAGGGGGGGGGCAGGTGAGTCGGTGGAGAGCGGTGGGTTCTAGAAGGGGGCACGAGGGGAGGGGCTGAAGCTGAGCTGGATACAGCCACCATCACTCTGAGCATGTGGCCGTTCAATGCCGAAAGAAGGGGCTCTCTCCAAACTTGGAAGCAAGAGGATTCCATTAATTCAGGTGAGCCATGGAACCAGGGCTTGGCTTTGGAGTATTCAGGAAAGGCGCCTAGCAGGCTTCAGCTTGCATGGGGAGGAGCCTGGTGAAATTACTTCCGAATTATTTCTTTGTGCCATCGCTGCACATGACCCTTCATCGAAAGGTCCCTGCCCCGAGGGGCTTACAATCTTTAATAGGGCCCATGGAGGGAACAGGGAAAGGCTGAGGTGCAGGCTGGATCCTGAGTCTAGGTCTCTGAGTTTAGACTTTGGAATTCCCGGACATTTCCCACCTCTTCCTCTGTTTTTTATTTTCCTTTCTGTCTCCTAGGACAAAAAAGGCTCCTGAGACGCCAAACGATGAAGGAGGCTGGTGTGCCACTGAAAGAAACATTGGCGATTGTGGTAAGTTAATTCCATGGGGAATCCATTCCCCACATTTACAGGGAGGTCATGGCGCTGACCTGCATGAAACAGGGCTGGGTTGGGGGGTTGCAGTCCCGTCTCGCCCCAGCCCCTCGCTCCCCTCCTTCCAAGCCAGGGGTCAGGCACCCAGGCAGGAGCAGGTTGGCAGCCTGTGGTGACGTGGGCATGGGCAGCCTGGCAGGGGTGCTTGTTCTGCCCCCCTAGAGAGTACAATGTCCTTCTTCCTTTGCAGGGCCGTGGTTTGGGGAACCAGCAGCAGCCCAGCGGTGCAGGGAAACCCAGGAAAATCCGGAGGTATGTTGTGACCTTGTGTGGCAGGGGAAGTGTTTCCCAGTGATCTGGGGGGTGGAGGAGGAAGGCCTGATTTAGAGATCCCTATAGTTTTATGGAGAGGGTTTCTCTGTGGTCCAGGCAGGGCCCTAGCTAGGGGGTGGTTGCTTTTGGTTCAGTATTTATCTTGTAAGTTATCTGTTTGCATGCGTTTCCAGGTGAACAAGGAGGAGTACCTCTCCTGCGGGCCAGGGACCCCACAGCAGCCCTCCCTCGCCTCCGCAAGTCTGGTTTTATTTTTCTTCATTCAGCTGCCGGACAACCCAGCAGCCTGGCCCCTGTTTGCCAGCTGATGTCACAAAGTGCTGTTTTGCAAGCAAGCCTTATAATGCCCTGCAAGGGGGGATGCCTGTCAGATGACAGTGAGAGTTGGTAGAGAAAGATGGATTCTCCAGGTAGGAGTCCTAGAGGAGATGAGTGAGTGGCAATATTATTATTGTGAGGTGATGCTAATACATTTCCAAAGGGAATGTCAAGCAGGGAGGGAGGGGGAAGAGAAAGTGGAGTTCTGGTGGAGACGGAAGATGGAAGGAGGCTTGGAAAGGGAGTTTGAAGGAGGTCAGGTGAGAGTTGGTTGAGAGCGGTGGGTTCTAGAAGGGGGCCCGAGGGGGGGGGCTGAAGCTGAGCTGGACTTAAAAGCAGCAGCACAGCCGCCATGGCTCTGAGCATGTGCAACTTGGCAGCAGGAGGATTCCCTTTATTCAGGTGAGCCATGGAGCCATGTAACCTCTTCCTTTTTTATTTTCCTTTCTGTCTCCTAGGACATAAAAGGCTGCTGAGACGGCAAACCATGAAGGAGGCTGGTGTGCCACTGAAAGAAACATTGGAGATTGTGGTAAGTTAATTGCATGGGGAAAGGGAGTTTGAGGGGGGGGGGCAGGTGAGTCGGTGGAGAGCGGTGGGTTCTAGAAGGGGGCACGAGGGGAGGGGCTGAAGCTGAGCTGGATACAGCCACCATCGCTCCGAGCATGTGGCCGTTCAATGCCGAAAGAAGGGGCTCTCTCCAAACTTGGAAGCAAGAGGATTCCATTAATTCAGGTGAGCCATGGAGCCAGGGCTTGGCTTTGGAGTATTCAGGAAAGGCGCCTAGCAGGCTTCAGCTTGCATGGGGAGGAGCCTGGTGAAATTACTTCCTAATTATTTCTTTGCGCAATCGCTGCACATGACCCTTCATCGAAAGGTCCCTGCCCCGAGGGGCTTACAATCTTTAATAGGGCACATGGAGGGAACAGGGAAAGGCTGAGGTGCAGGCTGGATCCTGAGTCTAGGTCTCTGAGTTTAGACTTTGGAATTCCCGGACATTTCCCACCTCTTCCTCTGTTTTTTATTTTCCTTTCTGTCTCCTAGGACAAAAAAGGCTCCTGAGACGCCAAACGATGAAGGAGGCTGGTGTGCCACTGAAAGAAACATTGGCGATTGTGGTAAGTTAATTCCATGGGGAATCCATTCCCCACATTTACAGGGAGGTCATGGCGCTGACCTGCATGAAACAGGGCTGGGTTGGGGGGTTGCAGTCCCGTCTCGCCCCAGCCCCTCGCTCCCCTCCTTCCAAGCCAGGGGTCAGGCACCCAGGCAGGAGCAGGTTGGCAGCCTGTGGTGACGTGGGCATGGGCAGCCTGGCAGGGGTGCTTGTTCTGCCCCCCTAGAGAGTACAATGTCCTTCTTCCTTTGCAGGGCCATGGTTTGGGGAACCAGCAGCAGCCCAGCGGTGCAGGGAAACCCAGGAAAATCCGGAGGTATGTTGTGACCTTGTGTGGCAGGGGAAGTGTTTCCCAGTGATCTGGGGGGTGGAGGAGGAAGGCCTGATTTAGAGATCCCTATAGTTTTATGGAGAGGGTTTCTCTGTGGTCCAGGCAGGGCCCTAGCTAGGGGGTGGTTGCTTTTGGTTCAGTATTTATCTTGTAAGTTATCTGTTTGCATGCGTTTCCAGGTGAACAAGGAGGAGTACCTCTCCTGCGGGCCGGCGACCCCACAGCAGCCCTCTCTCGCCTATCATGGCATGGAAGTGCAAAAAAAAGAAGAAACATCTTTGAAGGTCAGATGAGCAGGACCAGCACTCTCTGCCCAGCCCAGAAAGGAGGCGGGAGCCAGCAATGTTTGTTCTGACAGCCTGGAGGCTGCTGGAGATGCGAAGCAGGTAGGGTGCGGGGTGGGTTCAGATTCTGAGAGGTGCCCAGCAGGGCTTGTAGCACAATGGTAGTGGCCTTTCTGCTCTAGAACCAGGCCTTTGGCTAATTAAAGAATGCATGGCCTTTTAAACATGCTTGTGGATTGGGAGGTTGGCTTATGAGTTCGTTTTTGTTTTTAATGTGTATGCTGTTTTTTTATTTTGTCTTTTTATGCTGCAAGCCTCCCTGAGAGCTTCAGAGGAAGGACGGCATACAGATTAAATTAATCGATAGACTGATTAATGATCATGGCAGTTTCCCAGAATCTGGAGGTGAATTGTCAGGCTAGAAATGGAAAGCGGGAAAAGGAGTCCCAAGACCCCCTCGTGCCTTGGCCTGCGTTCCCTCATCGCCTGTGTCCAAAAGGCCTTTAAAAAGTGCCACCACCTGCGCCACCACTGGAACCCAGAACCAGCAGCAGCAGGGCGCAAGCAGAGAGGAGGCTGCTCTGCACGCAGTTGAGGCAGTGGATTCGCCAACACAGCAGCTGCATGCACCCAGAGGCACTTTGAGGACGAGGAAACACCACTACTTCCCCTGCCACTACCCCAGCACCAGCAGCCACCGGGTTTTCCAAAAAGCACCGCCACCTGCGCCACCACTGGAACCCAGCACGGCACAATCAGAGAGGAGGCTGCTCAGCATGCGGGTGAGGCGGTGGATTTGAGGACGAGGAAACACCACTACTTCCCCTGCCACTACCCCAGCACCAGCAGCCACCGGGTTTTCAAAAAAGCACCGCCACCAGTGCAACCAAGCACCAGTACCAGCAGAGGGGCGCAAGCAGAACCGAGGCCACTGGGCAGGCGGAGACAGGGGAACTGAGTGAGGCGTGAGGGGGTCGTGCAGGGCTCTGATGGTCGCCCAGGGGCATGTCCTTGCCGCCGCCACACAAGTAAGTCTCGTGGGGCTCTGATGGGGTACCAGGAGTCTCCTTGACGGGGGTGCGGCTCCGAGCAGATGACCCCCGCTGGGGATTCTTTTTCCCACTTTCCTTCGCTGATCTGACCTGTGAGAAAAGAAAACAATTCACCATCAGTGCTGGGAAGAGGGAGAGACTTCCCAGAATCCCCTGCAACCTGGCCTGACCCTGCAAGGCTTCCCTCCTCCTCTGTCCGCCACACACCTCCTTGAGGTATCCAGAGTCCCCCAAGGTGTCGCTCTTGTAGGTTTCATGGTCTAAGCTCAGGGACGGTCCGAGTCAGCGTCTCTCTGGGGGTCAAGGGGTTTCTTCCCATTTGGGCTCCTCCTGCACACATCCTTGGAGTCGCCGATATCCACTGAAACTTCAATAACAAAACATAAAAGCCACCAAATTAAAATTATTCTAAAAACAGGTAACAAATCCTAAAAGCAATCAGCGGCTCTCCAAACAACTTCAGAATTGCCAGGGACAGGGCTTTCAACTCCCAAATACCTTGTTTAAACAGGGATACCTTTAAATTTCTCATAGAAGCTAATAGCGAGGGAGACGGATGCACCTCACGAGTGAGGGCATCTCACAAACGGGAAGCCACTGCCTTGTCTTGGGTTACTACCAACCGGCCACCCTGGCAGCCTTGTGTTAACCTTGTAGATGCAGGGTCACGTGGGCGGAGGACTTCTGCCCGCAAATGGGGCATCTTTTACCCCGGCCAGGCTAAACACGTCCACTCCCTTCCAACCTTTCTTCATCAGACTGTTCCCCACCCGTTCCAGTTTGTCCCTACCCTCCTTTAAAGTGTGGGACCCTCAATTGGGCACATTCCCACTAATGTTCAAGGAGATCACACCTGGCCTAGCAGGCCTCTCATTCCAGGCACTGTTTTGGAAGGAAGCAGCACTTTCTCTGTTTTTTAAAAGGTGTTTGTTACCAATATGGTAAAAAACCCATCGGCTCCCCTCAGCTGCTTTAGCCGGCCAGTCGAAGCCGGTCCCAGGATTGTGGCCACTGTCGCCTGCTGAATGCTTCCAGGAGCCGCAGATGAGAGCGGAGTGCAGGGTGGGGACCAAAGGTGGACACACGACCCCAGAAGGAGCACGACATGTCTCTCCCCCCCGAGACTGTCGCTCCCCTAAAACACCACAGGTGACTGGCACCTACAGACATGACTATAGCAACACCAAGTACCGTAAATTTCGCTCTATAACACGCAGATTTTTTCTCCTAAAAAGTAAGGTGAAATGTCTGTGCGTGTTATTGAGCGAATGTGTGGTCCCTGGAGCTGACTCTCCAGAGCGAAGGGGCAAAATAGGCAAAAATCAGGCAAAAATAAGATCGGGCGGGCGGGCGGAGGGAAGAGGGAAGACAGAAGCTTTCCGGCATTCTGCCTCAGGGTCTTACTGCCCACCCGCTTCTGTTGCTGCGTTTGCTCAAACTCAACAAAGAGCAGGGAATCCCCTGCCCTCCTGGCAAGCAGAGGGTTAAGGACATGATCACGTCCTTCCTCCTAATCTTCCCTAGTCACACTGCGTGCAGGCTCCAGCCCACCACTTCCTCCTCTCCGTGCTCTAGGGACTCGCAGGCAGCCGAAAAGCATGCAGGTGGGGGAGAGAGAGAGAGAGAGAGAGAGAGAGAGAGAGAGAGAGAGAGGGCTGGCTTGGGTGGTGGTGGGGGGGAACGACTTTTGCTTTACAATGGTAGGTTTCTCATTTCTTTTCCAAAAGCAGAGAGCCCTGCCCCCAGGCCCCCTCCAAATTGCAGCTTCTCCAAGCAATGTACTGCTGGAGGGAGACAGTATGCTTGTTTGGAAGAGAAACCCTGCTTCCCTGCTCGTAAGTAACAGCAGGCTGGATTGCAGAGTGAGACATGGAAATCTCTGGATTTATATGCTGTATATCAAATATCTTAATCTATACTTTCTAACGCGGCAGGTAAATCAGAATCTCCTGAGCCAGGAGGATTACAGCATCTCTCCTCTCCCCTTCATTAAAAGCCTAATACTCTTCTTTGAAGAAGTATAACGTGAGAATGTTTTTTATATATATTTTTTAAAGTTCATTTCCTCATTGTGCGCTATACACTGATAATTGCTGCCACAATAACAATTGATTGAAAATGGAATTTAGTCTCCCCCCCCATAGAGAGCTGTTCTTCAAACGTTTAGCCTTAATACAGTGGCTGATGTAATACCCTTCTGCTTCACTAGGCATTTTATATAGGGACATTAAAATTGATTTTCTACATCTTGGCAGATGAAAAAAAGTGTGTTACATGCCCTATTGCCCAAAAGTGTGCAAGCACAGAGCAAAGGTTGCAGTGACAGAGGTGGCCAAAAAAGAAATACAGTACTGTAAATAAAAAAGAAATCATACTTCGTATATCCTGTCTGGCTTGGGGGGGGCACTTTTGCTTTCCTTCCCTCCCCATTTAAAACGTGGTGACAAAGCACGGATCCACATGGATCCTCAGGATTTTTGCATTGGGTCACCCCAAATTCACCATCAGATCACATTACATGTCCATGGCTACAGTCTGTACCAAAAAAATCACGCACCCACTGTAGCCTGGGGCTGCAATGGTGCAAAAACGTGGTTACAAAGCATGGACCCACAGGATCTTTGCACTGGGTCACCCCAAATTCACCATCAGATAACATAGCATGTCCATGGCTACAGCCTGCACCAAAAAAATCACGCACCCACTGTTGCCTAGGGTCGCAGTGGTGCAAAAACGTGGTTACAAAGCATGTCTCCACATGGATTCTCAGGATTTTTGCATTGGGCTACTCCAAACTCACTGTCAGATCACATGTCTGTGGCCACAGCATGAACCACAAAAATCATACATCCACTGTTTCATTTGGAATATTTTTTTTCTTGTTTTCCTCCTCTAAAAACTATGTGCGTGTTATGGTCTGGTGCGTGTTATAGAGCGAAAAATACGGTATATTCTATCATCTCCCCTCAGAAATAAAAAAGCCCTCCCTGCCTGCCTCCTCCCAGCACAGTCATACCTCGGGATGAATATTTTCGGGTTGCCTCCGCAGTGACCCGGAAGTAACGGAGCGCGTCAATTCTGGGTTTCGCTGCTTGCGCATGCGCAGATGCTCAAAACGAAGCGCCGAAATGCGACACATGCAGACGCACAGACCCGGGTTGCGTCGGCTTCTGGATGCGAATGGGGCTCCGGAACGGATCCCGTTTGTATCCAGAGGTACCCCTCTACAAGGTTTTATCAGTTTATTTTATTTATTTATTTTTTCAAATGCTTTTAATTAAACTTTTCCATATGGAAAATACAAGGTTTTATCAGTTTAATCCAAACAAACCATGTCCCACCCTTGAGCAACGCCATCAGGGCAATTCTAAAACACGGTTTCCTAAATCAATTTTAGAAAGTGACAATATTTAACCTATGAAAGTAACAATATGCGACAGCAAGAAACAGCCTAGGGCTGGGAACTCTTCTTTTCGGGGGTTGCCAACTTACCAGCCTCTTCCTCGCACTTTCAATCGGGGCGCTCTCCATCTGGCGCATGCGCACAAGGCCCAGTTTCCTCTCCCGGCTTCTCTGCGCACGCGCCGAGCCTTCCTGCCGTCGCGGAGGCCGGGGGCGCTTTCCGCGCAGGCGCAGTAAGGTGCGTAGTAAACGGAAGGAGGCCTCCCGCCTGGGTCGAGGGGGACGAGCGGCCTCTGCGGCGGATTAGAGGCTAATGGGTCCATTCCTGACGGAAGGCTGAGCGAGCTCGACGCCATCCGTTGTTCGGGTTTCCTCACGGCCAGCGGCGGGGCGATGGGCAGGCGCCTGCGCAGTGCACTAGCGCCTCGAGGCGCACGCGCAGCGCCGTTGAGCTAGCCGTTAAGGGGTGGGTCGGTTGCGCTCTGCGCACGCGCTGCCTGTGGCGGCTTCAGCCTTTCGCGGACGGCAGCCGCGTGGAGACAAACTTATGCAGCGCCAGCCGCGGTAACGACCCTCGCGGCCAATGCGGAGTCTTTGACGGGACGGCGAGCGCCGAGGGACACACCAGGTGAAGTGATGCAATAATAGAATCTGGGGGGGGGGGGAGGTTGCGCTCTGCACATGCTCAGAGCCCCGGTGTCCCCCACCCCAGTCAGGGGCGGAGGCCCTTGGTGGTGGGTGTCAGGAGGTAGGCTGGGCTGGCCTGCACTCTGTGTGTGCTCAGAGGCACAGCTGCCTCCCAGGGCTGGAGGAGGAGGAGGGGGTCGTGAGGGCTTGAGACTGCTTTTCATGCTGCGTGCTGATATTCATGTTGGGCTTCGGGGGTCGTAACCAAATAACGATCATAATGAGAATATGTAATAATATTTGAGCCCTTGGAGGCATCTCAGCTCCTGGGGTTTGGGGAAGCAGCTGGTTATCTCACCACCTTTGAGCCCAGCTTTCAGTCCAGTTTCTAAGACTGGGTGCCTGCTGCCAGTCACTCTAGACTGACGTTTATAATAAACTAAATATAATAATAAACTAAAAGGAGGCATTCTGATCAATCCTTCTGTGTGGTATTTCACACACACCTGAGCCCTGACCTTGACTTTTTAAAAATAATTTATTTAATCGTCATTGCAAATCTTCCAGAGACCGACAGATCTTTAAAAATAAAATTAATGCAAAATAATCCAAATATCATAAAACAATGAACAAAAGTCAACATGGCCTAGCAGGCTACATTTTAAAATGCCCTTCCAGAGCTATGGGAGCACATACAGCACGATAAAACCTTCTATTAGCAGCAAGGGGAAAATGGATCAGCTTTTTAAAATGTCTGAAAAACCTCAGGCTGCAGATCTTCTGAAAAGGAAATTCATAGGGGATATTCAGGCAGGATGCAGTATTTGGAAAGGGAGCATTTTACAGTATTTCTCAGATCTGTGGTGCTGATTATCCTTCCCGCTTTCTGCATGAAAGAATGTCTTGTTCATGCACAATCAGAAACTGATCACTCAGCAGAAAAGACCCCCCTGCGTTCCATTGGACACTCTTCCAAGCAGTGTTAGAAAATCAGACATATAAGCTAACCACCAAATGGCACCTTAAACCGAGGTTACAGCTGCCAAAACCAGAACCAGAAAGACCGGGTTTGAAATCTGCACTTGGCCATGAAGCTCACGGGATTACCTTGGGCCAGTCTTTCTCTCATCCTAACCTACCTGATAGGGCTGATGTGATGATAAAAAGGGAAGGGGCGGGGAGACGTTTGTATGTCACAATGAGCTCTTTGGGTTAAAAATCGGGATATAAATCTATTTTTAAAATAAACAGAATGTCTAGTTGCCATTTTGGGGCAAGACGGTTCTAAAGTGATTGTTTTTCAGTTAAACATCTGGCTAGTTCAGAGGACAACCCTGAGCGAGGTTAAGAGCTCTGAGAACTTAAAGAAGAAAAGTCCCCTGATCCAGGGACAGTCCACACATCTACTGGCCTGTTCCGACCTCTTTAAACTCTTTAGCGACTGCAGCCTTGGTTTAAGGACCCATTTGGCACCTAGCTTATATATCTGAGTTTCTAGCACTGACAGGGGCATAAGTGACCGCCTTGTTCTGCAGTTGACCATTGGTCAGTCTAGCTCAGTATTGTATACGCTGACCAGCGGTGGCTCTCCAGAGTTTCAGCCAATATCTCTCACGGCCCACGGAGTGCTCATCGGGGACTGAAGCTGAGCTTGTCTGCAGGCAAATTGGGTGCTCTAACCCCTCAGCTACGCTCCTCCCTTTTCTTTGGGGATCCTATACAGTATCTTTCTTTTTAAAAAAGAACACACACCACCATGTGTAAACCGTTCTCTTGTGGACGCTCCTTCCTTGGAGGTTTGGAAGCAGAGGTTGGGCGGCCGGCCGTCTGTCATGGATGCTTGAGGAGAGATTCCTGCATTTCAGGGGGTTGGACTAGATGTCCCTCGGGGTCCCTTCCAGCTGTCAAACTCTTGTCCCGCAGGTCGGAATGGCGGCCAAGCGGATCACCCAGGAGACGTTTGACGATGTTGTGCAGGAGAACATCAGCGACCTTGGCATGGATCCGGAAGAGGCCGTGATCGAAGCCGTCCAGCAGTTTGAGTCTCAAGGTGTGGTTTTTGCGAAGAGATGTTTTTAACTGGCTGGGTAGACCTGAGATGGCACAGCCTTCTCTGCTGTTCTACGAATCCCTACTGAGGACCCCTACTCATTGCCCCCACTGCTCCGTGTCTTTTCTCCAGGTGTTGACTTAAGCAACATAGTGAAGACAGCCCCCAATTCCGCCTCTGTGGATGGGGAAGAGCCACAGCATGCTGTTTTGCAGGTGAGAAGGGTGGCTGGGGCCGCCCAAGAAAGGAGGAAAGCCCCAGGGGTCGCTTAGGGAAGGGGCCGTGGCCCAGGGGCACCTCAAGGGCCTCAGGCTGAATCCCGGGCATCCTGAAGTTGGGCTGGGAATGTTCCCTCTACAGTGGTACCTCTAGTGGTGGACTTAATCCGTTTCAGGGTGCCGTTTGCACCCCAAAAAGTCTGCAACTAGAGCGCCTCTTCTGCGCATGCACGGGTGGCGAACACGGAAGTAAACACTTCTGGGTTTGCCACATTCGTAAGCTGGAAGTCCGTAAGAAGAGCGGAACGCAACACGAGGTATGACTGTATTCCTATTTAAACCAGGGCTTTAATCAAAACCATGAGCACTAGAATCTTGGTTTATTTCTTAGGAAAGGAGCACAGCTCAGTGGGTGGGCAGCACCTGTTCTGTACTACTGAGCTCAGTGGTCCGACTCAGTGTTAAGCAGGTCCCTAGGGCCCTAAGCATCAGAAGGTGAAATATATAAGCTGGGCGTCAAACGGCTCCTTAAACCAGGGTTACGGTCGGCAGAGTGGAATGCCTACTTGCCATTTGGGGGCCAGACGGCTCGGTCATATTTTCTAATAGGGCTTTTGGGTTCCTGAAATTCATTCTGATTGTGCCGATAAAATGGAGTTCTACAGGATGGGGTGTGTGTGTGTGTGAAAACAGTCCAAACCCAAGGATCCCCAGGCAGGCACCTCCAGGTGGGGGAGACGCCAGGCGCCTTCCTGGCACCCAGGCATCTTCACCTAGCCAGGTGCAAAATGGTATCGCAATGTTAAACACCAGCCCCGTCCTTAGATCAGCCTTTGTGATCTCCTGGTGTGTCGCAATGCGTAGCTGGCGATTTCCCGCGATGTTGAAAACCAGCTATTGCCCAGCCCTACTCGATCCTTTCCTTCCGCAGACGCTGGACTCCTTGCAGAAGGCAGTTGCTGATGCCGACTCGGGCGCGGTGGACGAGCTGCTGGTGAGCTTTGCGGAGCAGTGCCGGCAGGAGATGGCCGTCCGCTACTTGGCGGGGCAGAAGGGCGCTTATCCTGCCGTGCTGGCCGCCTGCCGCCTGGCTTGTGAGGAAGGCTGCTCCCTCCTCAAAGCCCTCCGCGCCCTCTCCGCCCTCCTGGACGGCCAGCCCGACTTCCTCGATGCCCCCGGGCAGGAGCTGCTTCTGCGGGTCTTGCGGGAGCGGCAGGACGATGGCGACCTGACCTTGGCCACGATCCGCTGCGTCCGGCAGGCGTCCCTCAAGCACGAGCAGAACCGGCAAGACCTGGTGAAAGGCGGCGTCCTCTCCCTGCTTGTCAGGGCCGTTGTCCGCCATGGGGACCGGGCCGATGTGGTCCGGGAGGCCTGCGCGGGGCTGCGCTTCATGACCTTCGACGACGATATCCGGGTGCCCTTTGGCCACGCCCACGAGCACGCCAAGATGATCGTGACAGAGCACGGCGGACTGAGGGTCCTCATCGAAGCCGCCAAAGGTAGAAGCATTGCCCCTTCCTCCCCACCCAGGGGAACGCAAGGAGAGCCCTTCTGGATCTGGCCAGAGGGAGGGGGGGAATTCGATTCCAGCGTTACCGGAGGCAAGACCTCCCTCTCTGTCTTTCCAACGCCAATCAAAGACAACCAAGAAGTGGTTTGGGGTGTTGTCGGTTTTTGCCAAATCCTTTTTATTGATTTTCCTTATTCCACGCAATTTCCCCCAAAATAGGTTTCCCACACTCCACGCAAGGTTTCCTCTTGTTGCTGCCTTGTTTCCCGGGTTCCTGCACGTACGATATTTCAACATTTGCAATATTGAGGATTGACTTCACGACAGAAGTACTGTTCTTGGGAGACAGGGGGCGGGCAGGTGTGGGGGACTCCCTGGTCCTGAATGGGGCAGCTGTGTTGGTGTTCACCCTGAAAGCCCTAAACGGCCTCGGCCCAGTATACCTGAAGGAGCGTCTCCACCCCCATTGTTCTGCCCAGACACTGAGATCTAGCGCTGAGATCTTCTGGCGGTTCCCTCACTGAGAGACGCCAGGTCAACAGGGAACCAGGCAGAGGGCCTTCTCAGTAGTGGCACCTGCCCAGTGGAACGCCCTCCCATCAGATGTCAAGGAAATAAATAACTATAGTTATTATAGCTATCAATCGTTTAGATGACATCTGAAGGCAGCCCTGTTTAGGGAAGTTTTTAATGACTGCTGTTTATTGTATTTTTAATCTTTGTTGGAAGCCGCCCACAGTGGCTGGGGAAACCCTGCCAGATGGGCGGGGTATGAATAATAAATTCTTATTCTTATCTACAAGTGAGGTTACTCCACAAATCATCAAATCCACAATGAATCAGTAATTGCCGTTTTTCAAATTCCTTTTCTTTCCTTCTGCATGTATGAAGCCCAAAAGCTCACTTTTCCTTTTCCTAACCAGGTACGATTCACTAACCATCTCGCTTTCTCCTCCTCCTCCTCTCAGCCTTCCCTGACGACTGCAGCGTCCTGAGGGAGATCTGTGCCACTCTGGGGCGCCTCTCTGTCCGGAACGAGTTCTGCCAGGAGATTGTGGACCTGGGCGGTTTAAACTTCATGGTGGCGCTGCTGGCCGACTGCATTGACCACCAGGTATTACGAATGTAGGTAGCTGCCACGTCAGATCACTGTGTCTGTCCAACCCAGTAGTGCCTACTCTGACTGGCAGGGGCACTCCAGGCAGGGCTGGCCTGATCCATGAATATGCAGTGGATCGAAATAAATCAAGATTTCGGTCCTCATTATTCTGAAGGAAGGACTGATGGACTAAAAATCTAGGCAGCATCTTCATATTGCATTGCGCCAGCAATCCATCTAGCTCAGTATTACCAACACTGGCTGGCAGCCGTTCCCCAGGGTTCCAGGGGACATTCCAGAAATGCCAGGGATTACACTCATTTTCACTCTTTTTTTTTTTTTAGTTTTTGTTGATCTGTGTTGTGTTTGAAAGGAAGTCTGAGACCAAACTCCTCCTGGAAAAGTTGACTTCAGAATAATGATTCCAATGGGATCAGGGACTTTGGAGAGTTTTCTCACCAATGCTCCAAAACTCCCCCTCCCCCCCCTTTTTGGGTAAAAACAGCTAAAAGCAAAGGGACTTTCAGATGCATAAAAGCCAAAAGCGTTAGGGAGGCTGTTCTAACTGCAGCACAGACTTGACCGTTTTCATTTCCATGGGCTTGCGTTGGGTAATATTAGTAATGAGAAGAACACTCTATGGCCTTTTAAACTTTGCATGGCGGAATTTTTGTTTGTTATTATAGTATTTCTTGTGTTCTTATATTGCAAACCGCCCTTTGATCTTCAGATGGAGGGCGGTATAGAAATCTTCATCATCATCTTGGAAAGGAATTGAAATAATAATAATAATAAAAATGCCCATTAGCACCTTAGAGACCAACTAAGTTTGTTCTGGGTAGAAGCTTTTGTGCGCATGCACACTTCTTCAGAGCCACCTGAGTTGGTCTCTAAGGTGTTACTGGACAATTTTTTATTCCGACTGCATCAGACCACCTGCCTGAATCTAGACTCTTGGGAAGCAGATGCTCTGCCTTGGAGCTACAGCCGTCCCCCCCCCCCAAAAAAAAAGAATAGTATTTGTTTTTCCAGGATCTTAGTATTTGCTTCTCCACCCCAGATCCAATCTTTAGCTGACTTGGTGGGGTGGTCGTCTGTCCTGGATGCTGGAGCCGGGATTCCTGCATTGCAGCGGGTGGGACTAGAGGACCTCCAGGGTCCCTTCCAACTCTGCGACCGTGTGGCTTTCTTTTCAAACCTGTCCTCACGCCTTGGGTCTTTGCCCTTCCGCTGCCGATTGTAGGACCTGGTGAAGCAGGTGATGAGCGCCATCCAGGCGATCGCGGGCAACGACGACGTGAAGGACGCCATCGTCAATGCCGGAGGGACAGACCTCATCGTGCTGGCCATGACTCGGCACCTCGGCAGCCCTTTGGTGAGTGGGTGTCGGTAGAGGAAGCTTCCATTTATTGGCTGGTCTGTTGCATTTATCCCGCCTCTTCCTCCAAGCAGCTTAAAGCGGCGTTCGGTCGTTCACCTCTACAGGTGTAACCCTCACGACCACGATGTGAGGGCGTTAGACTGAGAGGCCCCAACCAGCCCATCACCTTGTCCTGGGGAGTGGGCTTGCACGTTCCTAGGGCCCTTGTGAGCGCAGCCGTCGGGAGTCTCGTACTCCCAGCAGGGTCACGCAAGGCGGTAAGGTCAAAGGGGAGGAGCTAGACAAAGCATGATCCCAGAAGTCCTCAAGGGCAGAACAGGCGGAAGATGACAAGCGGTGTGTGACAACGGCTGCGAAGGCGGAGGAAGAATCTACCGGTCATCGTGATCCTCATGCCATTGGAAGAGAGCCTTACTGGGAAGACTGTGCGTTGGTCAGTGTGCCCTGATCTACGCGCATAAAACAGATTCACACACAGGTGTCTTCCAAAAACCCCTCCCAAACCCCAAAAGTCCCATGGGGATCGGCAAATGGTATCGGGGGCAGGACCGTGAAATCTGGAAGCCCCCAGTCATGAACCGGCACATGGGCGGTGGATACAGATTCAGTTGCTCTGAGTCAAGGAATGAGGCAGTTGAGTAGCTTGGCAGCTGTACCCATGACTGAGCAGCCCTATTTAGGATCCACCCTGCTCACCCCGAAAAGGGGGAGGGGCTAGAAAAAGGTGCCCACAACATAATCTGCCTCCCTTTTTTCCTTGACTGGATTACCCTGGCGCCCTTTGAGGTCAGCACCCAGCAGTCGTAAAAGACAATTGAACTTTGGAACATGGACTATATGGACCTTGTTGGATAGCACAGACAATCAACGTCCCCAACGCAGAGCTGCCATCATTGCAAGAGAGCTGTGATGTTTTAACTTCAATATTGCATCGCTTCAAGGAGCTCAAAGAGCAGGTGAGGGACAACTGAAGGAAGAAAAGGGAGGCTACACTTTCTTCTGGAAAGGTCTGCCTGAACAAGAACGCTGAATACACGGAGTAGGCTTTGCTATCAAATACGATCTTGTGAAGCTCTTGTCAGAAGTCCCCAATGGCATTAATGAGCGACTTTCAACCCTTCAACTAAAACTCACCCCAAACCATCAGGCTCCTATTCGAAGCGCTCATGCACCAACACTGATTGCTGATGAAGACATTAAATAAAATTTTTACTCTCAGCTGGATATCCCCTGGGTAATTTTAATGCAAGAGTTGGGCAAGATTTTGATCTGTGGCCTGGGACTATAGGGAAAGAAGGAATTGGCAACAGCAACCAGAACAGAATCTGACTTTCGATTCTATGTGCAGCGCACAACCTTGGTATTACCAACACACTCTCGACAAAAAAATAAACGTAAAACATCTTGGAGGCACCCTTGGTCAAACCGCTGGCACCGCTTAGACTATGTAACCGTCCGAGCTGAAGATTGCCGTGATTCACTCCTTACCAGAGCTGTTGTGAGTGCTGATGACTGCTGGACAGATCATCAGAATTGGCCTCCACAGTAACTTACAGACTCACATTTAAAACTGTGTTTGTGGAAGACAACCTTACTTGGCTATAAGTGATCACTGAAGAAGAAGAAGAAGAGTCACTCAGTGAGCTTCTCTTGGGTCCTATACTGACCCTCTAACCTAGAGGTTTTCAACATTTTTGAGTCCATGACTCCATTGACCAACTACATTCTTTTTGCGGCACCCCGTGGGGTCACCCCTTTCCTGGTGAACCAGCAGCCCCTCATCCCTTTTTGAGCACTTTCCCTTGTTGTGTGTTCCCTCAGCCTCCTCCCCCCTCTTCTTGGGAGTCCTCTAGGCAGCCACTGCTGACACCCCTGGTCTCTGAGCTGCCCCCCGCTGCCCCAAAGAGAGATGCTTCCCAGAGGCCCCTTTCCCCTGGGAAGCCTATAGCCGGGCTGCTGCAACAAACAGCTGTGCAAGCCTTTGGGAGGCAGAGGTGCAAGAGGGCATCAGAGGAGGGAGGGAAGGAAAGAGGGACAGAGGCCAGTGCTGCCCGCTGCACCCCGATCATCATTCAAGGCACCCCAGGATGCCACAGCACACTGGTTGAAAACCACTGCTTTAACCACTCCACCACATTGGCTCTCCTTGGTTGCTCCCAGTTCCTTTGCTGTTCTTGAACCCCCTCCCTCATAATTTGCCCCCCTCCCCTGGATCAGCCCCCTCCAGAAGAAAGAGGGTGCGTGCACGCTCTTCCCTGTTCCAAGGGATCATAGAATTGTAGAGTTGGAAGGGGCGGCCTGCAAATTTAATAAACAAATAAATGTTACACTATATTAAAAGCAGTTGAAAAGAACTTAAACTTGCAGAAATACTATTACTGTACGATAAAATGCAAGAGTGGCGTCAAGCTTGCTGTATAATAAAAATGCAAGTGTGTCGTCAGTCGGTTGAACATTGCTGCCTGTGTTTCCGCCCTCAGGTGTGTGAGCAGAGTTGTGCGGCCTTGTGCATGCTGGCGCTGCGGAAGCCCGAGAACTGCCGGGTCATCATGGAAGGGGGCGGGGCCTTGGCAGCGCTGCAGGCCATGAAGATGCACCCCAAGGAAGCTGGCGTGCAGGTAACAATTTTGCCCTGTGAGAGACAGGAGTCGCTCTTTCACCCACCCTCTGCCCTGGCGTGACCACAGTTACCTCTGAAGGTATCAAGCCTGCTTTCCCACAAGGGTATAAGATGGGCTGCGTCTGGTCTTGGAACTACTGTTTCTGGGGGACGGGGGCAGGCAGGCGTGGGGGACTCCCTGGTCCTGAATGGGGCAACTGTGCCCCTGAAGGACCAGGTGCGCAGCCTGGGAGTCATTTTGGACTCACAGCTGTCCATGGAGGCGCAGGTCAGTTCTGTGTCCAGGACAGCTGTCTCCCAGCTCCATCTGGTAGGCAGGCTGAGACCCTCCCTGCACGCAGACTGTCTTGCCAGAGTGATGCTTGCTCCGGTTATTTCCTACTTGGCCTACTGCAATGCGCTCTATGTGGGGCTACCTTTGAAGGTGACCCGGAAACTACAACTAATCCAGAATGTGGCAGCTAGACTGGTGACGGGAAGTGGCCACCGAGGTCATATTACACCGGTCTTGAAAGACCTACATTGGCTCCCAGTAGGTTTCCGAGCACAATTCAAAGTGTTGGTGCTGACCTTGAAAGCCCTAAACGGCCTCAGCACAGGGAACCAGGCAAAGGGCCTTCTTGGTGGTGGCACCCTCCCTGTGGAACACCCTCCCATCAGACGTCAAGGAGACAAACAACTATCTGACTTAGGCAGCCCTGTATTGGGAAGCTTTTTATGTTTGACGTTCTATTTTGTTTTTATGTGTGTTGGAAGCCACCCAGAGCGACTGGGGAAACCCAGCCAGAGAGGCGGGCATAAATAATAAAATTGTTGCTACTAGTAGTATTAGTCCTACTCAGAAGGCCCACTGAAATTAACAGAAACATCTTAACACCATACTGGAAAACCACACAATGAATCCCTAGAGTGCAATATTATATACCATTTTTTACACACTGTTGATTTTATTGGTATTGCGAACATTATAATTTCGTAAATAATTTACATTTACATGAAGTGTAAACCACTTAGGAAGTGTATCAATGTTGTTTAAGGCACCATATATTTTGGAGAGCTGTTTCTCTCCTCGCCCTTACATTTGGATGCCTCTTAAGGTACCATAGACAACGTCTGCATGATGGTTTCTGAGATCAAGGAGCAGTTTTCTGCCTGCGTTGGGGTACAAGTTTTGACTCAAGGTGGTGAGCAGAACCTTTCAAAATGGTGCTGATCTTATTCAAAAATTGCATAGTGGTCCTTGAGATCAAGGCGCAGGTTTCGGCCTACGTTCGGATACAACATTTTGAATCATTTTGAATCGAAACGGCACTGATATTTTTGTTGTTGCTTCTCAGAGTTCCCAGGCGACACTGGGCGCTTTCTTCTGCTAACAAAGTGAATCGTTTGCCATTTTTCTCTTTCTCCGTCCAGAAACAAGCCTGCATGCTGATCCGCAACCTCGTCTCCCACACTCGGGATTTCTCCCAGCTCATTCTGGAAATGGGCGCTGAGGACTTGATCGCCGAGGCCCGGGCCGCCCACCGGACGTGCGAGGACGTGGCCAAGGCCGCCTTGAGGGACCTGGGCTGCCAGGTGGAGCTGAGGGAGCTCTGGACGGGCCAGAAGGGCAGCCTGGCGCGTTGACACCTGGAGACGCCGGGAAACGGGGGGTTGGAAGTGGTGGGGATGAGCGGAGAGCAAGATGGACTTGCAGATGGGAATAAACGCAGCCCAAGGGAGAAGGAGGGTGTTGGCCTTGGCTGCCATTAGCTGCACAGGCCCCGGAAATTCACCGGTGCGCCGCCATTTACTTTTCTGAGCCAAGTCTTCTGTGTGGTCCTGGTTGTTATTTTAAATATCTGCCGCTTCAAGAACTTGACTGGACGACCCTAGAGAATGGAGTGGCGCCTGCAGAGAAAGCTTCCCTTTCTATAAAAATCTCCAAGAGCAAAAGGCAGCAACAATGGTGCGGGGGGGGGGGGGAGGCTGGCAGGCTGCTTTTCCATTTACAGTTGTATTTTGGCCCTACCCTGGCTCTCCATATCGCCAGGGCAGGGCTGGGCCTGGCAGGCTTCTCCAGCTTCAATTAGGCAACCACTGCTCCCTGCTGTCCTCCATTCTTCTTCCAGATGTGCCATCCTCTGGCCCTTGGCCGTTCTTTTTCCTCTTGTGTCATCATGCTGCTGGTTTAAAGCAATCATGTGCCTGTCTCATTTTTGTTCTCTACGGTTCTCCTCTTTGGTCTCATGATAGTTACAAGAAAGGAGATTCCAACTAAACATTAGGAGTAACTTTCTGTTGTTGGCAAGATCCGTTCGGCAGTGGAATGGTCTCCTTTGGGAGGTTGCAGACTCTCCTTCCTTGGAGGTTTGGAAGCAGAGCTTGGATGGCCATCAGCTGAGATTCCGGCATTGCAGAAAGTTGTACTAGAGGACCAGGGAATCTCTTCCTACTCAACCATTCTCATTCTAGTTGGATAAAAGTTGGCTCTCTCAAACTCTCCGTTTCTTTCTTTTTTTAAAGTCAAGTTTCCGGCCCTTATGAGTATTAAGAGATGCTTGGGAGAATCTCTCAGAAGCTGGAGCAGATTGCTGGCCTTTGGGGCTTTGGTTTCTAAGAACATGTTTCCAAGAACAGACCCTCCATGTATCCCTTTTTTCCAGGGACAGTCCCAGATTTACAGAAGCCGTCCCGGTTTCTGATTAATCCCAGAATGTCCTGCTTTTCTTTAGGACAGGGGTCAGCAAACTTTTCCAGCAGGGGGCTGGTCCACTGTCTCTCAGACCTTGTCGGGGGGGGGGGGGGACGACTATATTTTGGAAGGGAAAAAATGAACGAACGAATTCCTATGCCCCACAAATAATCCAGAGGTGCGTTTTAAATAAAAGGGCACATTCTACTCATGTAAAAACACGCTGATTCCTGGGCCATCCACGGGCCGGATTTAGAAGGCGATTGGGCCGGATCCGGCCCCCGGGCCTTAGTTTGCCTACCCATGCCTTAGGATGGATGTCCTTATTTTCATGAGAGAAATGTTGGAGGGTATGATGTAAGCAGGGAGCAGCGTGAAGGAACGAGCATAAAGGATGCAAGTTGAAGGCTTCAGTTTTTCTTTCTGAAGAAGCTTGTTTGGCTGAGACAGGGAGGAGCTCTCTAGATGTCACGGGACTCCGGCTTCCCTCAGCCCAGCCGGCATTGCAGACAGTCGGGAGTGATGGGAGACGGAATCCAGCAACACCCAGACTCTGCAGGTTTTCCTTCCCTGGTCCTAAGAGGAGACATTCCCTGCTGGCTGCACGAGGAAGGAAAATGCCTCTAATCAGAAGAAGCCTCCAACCCTTCCAAGAGCAGGGAATGCCTCTTAGCGCTGGGAGGGGGAACCTCCGGAGCCCCATCAAAAGTTCCTCCAGCCAGTGGTCTGAGATGATGGCGGTGTGTGTGTGCGGCATCCGCCTGTCTCGAGAGACAATGGAGTGCGCCCCCAGGGGTGAATTGCTGTGTTGGCAGCAGGGAGGTGACCTCCCCAGGGCAAGGGCCTGGGCAGCGTGTCTGGAGGTCCTGGGCTGCCCAGGTGACAAGACCCCCCTCTCGGCCACACTGAGGGGTCCAAAGGAAAGCAGAGCAAGACGTTGGGCACCAGCTGGGCTGCAGAAGTTGCCAGAAGGAGGCGGACAAGGCGCCCTCCAACCGCCTTAGGGACTCTGGATTTGCGTAGGGCTTACTCCTGAGCCTTTTCTCTCTCAAAGATGTCCCACAAGGCAGAGTTTTCTTCTAGACAGTCTCCCTTCCCGGGAGCCTGGCTTCGCATGCAGGGGAAGCCCCTGACTCACGGACGGTTTGAGACCCTTTGGCTCCCCTCACCCGATTTAGCCAGCCAACCGAAGCTGCTCCCAGGATTGTGGCCGCTGTCGCCTGCTGACGGCGTCTGGGAGCCACAGGTGAGAGTTGGGTGCAGGTGGGGACCAAAGGTGGACAAATGACCCCAGAAGGAGCACATGACCCCCCACAGAGCTACCACCCCTCCCCCCCACCCCATCATTATCTGAAGGGTTGCAGGCACCCCACCCATCGGGCTATGTAAAGCTGTCGTGTGAGTGTACACACACACCAACTAAAATCCTTGTTTTGTCTAGCTCTGTCCTTGCTGTCAAAAGCTGCCTTGGGTTTTGGCTACGGCTCTTTCCTCCGTCTCCCCTGGAGATTGAACCGGTGGCCTTCTGCGTACATAGCATATGTTCCACTACTGAGCTAGGTCTCGCTTACGGAGATCCAAAAGTTGCTTCCCAGAAGCTTCCAGCTTCATCCCAACTGGCTGCGAGGTGACGCTCCCCCCGAAAGGGTTGTTCACTCAACAGTAGCACTGTGTACGCAACAGCCTAAGTAGATCCCTGATGGATCAGGACAAGGAAACATTGGTCCAGCATCCTGGCCTTGCCTTACAAATCTGCAAACCTTACAAACCTGCGATCCCAGCAACTGGTATTTAGGAGCTTGCTGCCTCCAGCAGTGGAGGAGGGAGAGCAAGGGTGCGTTTCAGCCTTGAAGGGAGAGGTGCCAAGAGGCACAGGTGAGTCAGGCTGGTGAAGGAGCCAGGATGTCTCCCCTTTCCGCTGGTCTCCCAGCACTAGAAGAGGTATGAAGAGGGAGAGGCAGGTGCACCGGCAGAGTCTCTGGTTGCCTGGGAAGGCCCCATGGGAGACGGAGACGATGGGCAGCTGTGGAAAGTGGCCACTTTTAGTCTGCCTCCTTGGGGCAAAATCGGCCGAGAAGAATTGCTGGGCTCATTGGGCCTGGCACCCTTGAGGAAGCCGTTTCTTCCAATAAACAGTTCACTTACTCTGCGCCGTTTATTGCTGGCTGGCTCCTTGAGCACCACCCTCCTCCCGTGCAGTGAAAATCCTGAATCGCTCCCCATAGTACCTCCCCAAAGGGGCGGAGGCCAGATCTGTACACTGGAAGTATAAAAAGGGTTACAATGGCGGGGTCATCCCAGCCAGTGCTCCAACCACCTGTGGTGCCCATGTGGCAATGTGAAACGACTCTCATGTTTTGGTTCTGTGCTGTGAGCCAAGAAGAAAGTGGGAATTTTAATGGAAATGGTTGGCTTCTGCAAAATACCCTGCAACACACCCCAACCGGGCCCCCAAGGTCTGAGTCACATCGCCTGGGGGTGGATGCGACCGCGGTACTGGGCGATCCACCGCCCCAGCCGCCTGGCCAGCGGCCTCCCCCCTTGCGCCCCGCTGCTGGTACTGGGTTGGGGTGGAGGCTGCGGCGACGGCGCTTTCCTGAAGATCTTCCGGACCCAGGAGACCAGGAATTGGAGGCTGAGGCGTGAGGGGGTCGTGCGGGGCTCTGAGGGGGTGTTGTGAGTCTCCTTGACTGAGGGGCGACTCCCAGCAGAAGGGCACTGCTGGGGACTTGTTCTTCCTCCTTCCGTCTGTAGCCTGACCTGCGAGAAAAGCAAACAAGTTACCTCCAGCCCAAGGGATTCTGGGAAACTGGTTACTATTCAGATGGTCCTGGGTAGGGTAACTGTGCCCCCAAAGGAGCAGGTGCACAGCCTGGGGGTCATTTTGGACTCTCATCTGTCCAAGGAGGCGCAGGTCAATTCTGTGTCCAGGGCTACTAGCTCCATCTGAGACCCTCCCTGCCTGCTCCCTGTCTCGCCAGAGCGGTCCATGCCCTGGCTATTTCCTGCTTGGACTACTGCAATGGAAGGTGACTTGGAACCAACTAACCTTGAATGCGGCAACTAGACTAGTGACTGGGACCACATACTGAAAGACCTACACTGGCTCCCAGTACGTTTCCAAGCACAATTCAAAGGCCTGGTGCTGACCTTTCAAGCCCTAAACAGCCTCGGCCCTGTATACCCGAAGCAGCACCTCCCCATCGTTCAGCCCAGCCACTGAGGTCCAGCTCCAAGGGTCTTCTGCTGGTTCCCTCCCTGCGAGAAGTGAGGTTACAGGGAACCAGGCACGGAGCCTTCTTGGTAGTGGCACCCAGCCCGTCAGATGTCAAGGAAATAAACATCTACCTGACTTTCAGAAGACATCTGACGGCAGTCCTGTATAGGGAAGTGTTTAATGTTTGACGTTTTATGACATTTTCATATGTGTTGGGAGCCACCTACTCAGATGGGTGGCCTCTACATAATCAATTATTCCGATGCCTGGCTTGAGGTCAGGAGGGCCTGTGGCTGGGCTGCTGCAGAACTGCAGAGGCCTCCTTATTGTGGAGGGTTGCAGGGGCTTCCACTCCCTGTGCCAGCTGCGACCTCACCAACCAGCGCAGAGCAGCGGGCACCTGTCCGATTTTGAGGGCAAGAGGGCTGGTGGGAGGCTCCAGCTGGGGGGCCCCTCCCTGAGGGAGACCCCCAAGGAGGCAGGCCCAGAGCCAGGGGACTGGTGGTGGGACACCGAGGAGGAGAGGTCAGAGGAATGAGAGGAGGAGCCGGACGCTGACGGGGCAGCAGGGTTTAGGGAGCAGGGAGAGCCTGCGACAGGGAGCAATTCAGAAGAGTCTCCCTTTCCGGCTGCCCCAAGCTCCCCTCCCCAGGTCTCTGAGGATGCACAGAGAAATGGAAAGGGATGGACTGTGCGCAGACACAGTTTGAGATTGCTAGGGAAACGTCTGGGAGAGGAGCAGCCTTAGAGAGTTGGAAGGCAGGGAGCTTCAGTCCTGGCAATGGCTCCATAGGGGCAAGACCTGCTGTTAAGGCTTGCTGAGACCACTAGGCCGAGTTGTCTGTTCATTTCCCTGAGTGAAGAGTCAACTTCACCGACACAGAGCCTTGCTCGCCTGCGCCTGACCCCAGGAGCTGCTCTGTAGGGAGCAGGAGATCTCTGAGGATCCACACAGCTCAGGTGCAGCGAACTAACAGCTGCTCCCACAAGGCAGCTGCACACCTGGGGGCGACCTTGGACCTCGTCCCCTGCAAAGCCATGGCACTCGACCGCTGCGCCACAAGCCCTGCTGCAGACTCTCCCAGCGCCCCTTTTTCCCAGGGAGAGACCCAGATTTACAGAAGCCACCCCGGTTTTCTATGTGATCCCTGAATGTCCCGCTTTTCCTTAGGACGTCCTGTTTTCATTGGGGAAATGCATGGAGTTACGTGAACCCCGTAACTGGGCACCTCCCAAAATTTGAACTCACATCGCGCCCCACCTGCTCTGGGTTGGGGGGCAGGGAGCGCTGGTCTTGCAGCCGCGCCTTCAGCCCCCCTTCTGTGGCCTGCTCCTTCTCCGGGGCCCCTCGGTTTTTCCTCTTTTGAGGGCACTTCCTGCTCACACTGGCCGCTGGCAGGGGCGATGGGGGGCTGTGGGGGGCTCCCTGCCCCTTTGTGGGGGGCATCTTCTTCCTGCCCGCTCGGGGGGCCCCACTCTCTCTGTCCTCGGGGCGCCCGGGGGGCTGGTAGCGGGGGAACTCCTCGTAGGTCCGGTAGCAGGGGAAGTAGCCTGTGGAGGCGCAGGAGTCGCCCAGGAGCGTTGCCTCGTCATCGGCCAGGTAGTAAGCCTCGTGATCCGCTGTGGCCCTTGCAAGCTGGTCTGGCTTAGCATTGTCATAAGGAAGGACCTTGAATTTTTCAAAGAAGAAAGAAAACAAGGCTGCAATCTAATGAAGTGAAACTGCGTTGCACTGGAGTGTTAGATCTGTAGGATTGCAGGGTTGGCTTGGGTGAATTGAGACCCTCCAAGACTCCCTATTTTCCCAGGACACTACCGGATTTACAGAAGCCGTCCCAGTTCCTGATTTGCTCCCAGAACGGAACGCCCCGCTTTTCCTGAGGTTTCATGATTTTTGACCTGGCAATATATTGCAAATCATGAGCTGCGTGTTCGTGTGCTATGCAAAAATCCCAGTGTGGGGAAAACTGTGAAGCCAGCCAAGGGCTCTACACAGCTGCAACTTTATTTCAGACATCGAGATATAGGGGGACATTGCGGTGTTTAGCTGGTGATATATCACGATGTTGAAAAGCGTATCTTGCCTGGAACCCCTGGAGATTGGGGTATGCGCACCTGTGTCTCTGCATTAATGGGTGGATGGGTGGAAACCATCATTGCCAGACTTCCGGGTTAGCGCCTCCGGCAATGGCGGATTTCCTCTGATCGGGAGGAATCCGCTTCGTGGAAATTAGGGTCTGGACCGCCACAGCGAGGCGGAGACCCATCAAAAACCACAGGCGGGAGAAGTGGGATTTGGCTGGCACCTTTTGCGCCTCCCCTACTCGCAGGGAAACCCGGTTTCGGGGATCCTGAGCGACGTGGGGTGAGCGGCGCGGTGCTTCGAATCGACTGCTCTTTTCACGGAGTGAAGCCGCATTGCTGTTGCCGGAGAGCGCTGACTTTTTCCTGTGGACAACTGGACTCTAAACAAGTACCCGTGAGTAGAACGGAAAATTGGATTACTAAACATCTTAATTTGGCACCGAAGCGGGAAGGTTCTAAACAGGAAGTCCGCCTTCCGCTTTTGTAAATAGATTGAAGCAAAGACATTGCAGGCTAAAGTCTGGAAAGTTTTTTGTAAAGGATTAAATCTCCATCGGCTAAAACTACTAAACCCCCCTTGGAAGCAGGGGAAGAGGGGGGAAATCTTAGATTGTTTAAGCCTGCAGGAGAGAGAGTAAAGAAAGATAAATTTCTACCGTCTTGAACCTGGGAATGGGCTGCCAAGAAGACAGACGTTTTGGGAAAGTTCATTGACTGTGAATAAAATGTATGTTGACAGATAGTTAAATAAGAGAAACATATTGATTCCAATGTTTCCTTTTGCACTTAAAAGGAACAAAATATTTGAAAAATGAAAGTAATTTTGTTGCTGGATCTGCTTTTAAAAGGACGGATACAAATAGAAATTGTTTCCCCTAGAGGGAGCTTTTGAAACTGTTGTTGGAGTGGACCTGGGGAACTCGCCAGCTGTAGAGATTAAAGATCGTGAGAACCAGACATTGACCTTGGACAAGAATGTGGACAGAAGAAGCCTTAGTAATTGCTTTTTGCAAGACAAGTGCTTTATTGGAACAGCTTCATGAGAAGATGGATTTGATGACTACTGCAATTGATAATTTTGGACAAACAGTGAACACCTATATAGAAACTTCTCAGGAACTGACCCAGGAATCTGCTTTGACAGGGCAAGCTGTGGAGAAGACAAAGGAGGAGGTTGTTGTTGAACCTCAAGTAATACAAGTGGAGAGAGCCACGGCCTTGCAGGAACATAAGCTGTTGTTTCTGATGACCGAATCTGGAGTGAGCCAGACTTGGAGAGATGGAGTCCCGTTTGGATTGGAGATGGGAAGTTGGATAGATCCCCCTATGCAGGGATGTTCTGGCTTCTGGGATCTGGCTTTGGGCCAGGGGCAGACTGGAGTTGTGGGGGCCTTTAACTTTGGAGGGACATTGAAGCATGCTTTGAAATATCTTTTGGATTTTAGTGCTGACCATGGAGAATGGGCTGACCTGTCGAGAAGGGATAAAGACATTGTTAGGTTGGAGTCTCCCCGAGATCTACTCTTCAGTGACAAAGGAAGGAAATTAAGAACAAGATCAGCAGAAGACAAAGTAAAGTGCAGGTATAAATATGAAGAAGATCTGCAGAAGCGACATGGAAAAGAGTTAAGATCCTCGGATAGAAGATCACCAGGTTGATGGACTAGATGGAATAGATAGAAAGGACTGACAGAACCCGAGACCAGGAAGAAGAGACGGTGGATGAAGATTGGAAGAAAGTTTACAAATTCATTTAGAGAAATATTGTAAAATTAATGAGTGTTAGAAAAATGCTGGAATAAAACTATTTGGCTTTAGTAGAAATGCTATAAGGAGTTATGTACAAATAAGTTTTAAGTTTTAGGGCTTTTTATGGTAAGATAAGGTTAAAATAAATTAAGACAACTAAAGGGCAGAATATAGTGAAAGATGGAAAGGATTTGCTGAGATAATTAATAATTAGAATACAAAAAAGGGAGGTGTGAGGAGGTCGATGAAACAAGTTAATGAAAGATAAAGATATGGGAATATTGGATTTGTTTTTAATTCTTTTTTTGCTTTTGTTTTTGGGTTTGATGTATTGTTTGTTTTGTACTCTTTTCTTTTTATTGACTTGTATTGTTTAATTCTTTTTTTCTCTTTTCTTTTTTCTTTTTTCCCTGTAACTTTAAATTCTCAATAAATATCATTTTTTTTAAAAAAAAAAAGGAAACCATCATTGCCAAGCAAGAAGAAGTGAAATCATGCTCCATTGTTTGACCTTGTAAGTAACAACCCTGTACTATCCTGGTTCTCAGCCCCCCTACTGTGGAGTGGTGGGTTGTGTTTCCATTCAAATTTCAGCCCTTATTCCTAAATCTATCCCTTTGGCCATCCAGATGTTGCAAAATTACAACTCCCAGTGAGCATGCAGTGACTACGGGAGCTGCAGTTCAGTCCAGCAACATCTGGAGGGCTACATCTTCCCCGTGCCTGGCTTAGACGCCTTGGGAGTTGTGTTCAAGGGCCACCCACTCCAACTTAGGGCCACCCAATCCTGCCATCTCACCAGTTCTGGTGGCAGGCAGTTCTTAGGACTCAATTACTACGTGCTTCTGACCTCATTGACTGTGGGCTCCAGGGGGTCTTCTTTGTTGTTGTCAGGTGGGGGCCACAGCTGCTCTTGTAGTAACCCCCTTTCTTCCTTTTCCTGCAGCTGTGGGACAAATTCCAAACAAAAATAGCAATATGAAGAACAGTGTTATAAGAATTCTAAGGTCTCAAATAAGTATATAAACCACGTGTCTGAAATAGTAGAGGAGAGCAATCCTGAAACCCTTTTGACTCTCTCAGGGACCTCAAATATTCCTCTGCAGTGAGGAAGGAAATGAGAAAGCCTCCCCATTGTCTTTTTGCTCACAAATCCTGTCTTAAGGGCATATTTGTGCATGAATAGGGTGAGCCTGTGATCTGGATTCAGGAACTAAAGTATTTGCCATTACAAAAGAATGGCCAGGCTGCCCAGGCGATGCAATCAGGGACCATTAACAGGTATCCTGACAGACAGGATGTCTGCTGTAGACCACCTCCTGTGATGTATGTGTGCAGGAGACCACCTCCTTCTGTGATGTATGTCCTTCAGGGGGTGGATCTTGGGCTACAGGGTGCGCAACTTCAAAAGTCTATATAAGGGCTTGCACACCAATGTTCTGGGTTCTCCTTCCTCCCTGTGTGGCGAGTGTGAGGACCTTGTTGCAACAATTGTGGGGTTGGTATGCCCCCCTCCCCTTCTGCCAATTGCCCCTCAGGTCGCTGCCACCTACCCATCGAAAATCCAGCAAATCTGTGCCCTGTGGTCTGGGGGCCTCCTTCTTGCCCTCGCCTTCTCCCTCCAGGGGGCTGCCCAGGTCTTCCTTGGGCTCTTCCTCCTTGCTGGCCGCTTTGTCACGAGGTTCTTGGCCCTCAGATGCTGACTGCTGGCAGAGACAGGACCCCCAAGGTGGCAGGTGGGGGAAAGTGAAGAAAAAGAGAGCAGCCCAGAATGAGACAGGCAGGAACCCAGAAGCCAAACTCTCCTGCCTGCATTGAGTAGCTGGCCAGGGAAGCCCTCAAGCCCTGGCGCCATGGGGGGCTGGTCCATCAGGACCGAGCAAGCACAGCCTGCCCTCAGCAGCCCCCTGCCGCCTGCCCCCTTGCTCGCAACCCGTCCAGAAGGTGGCCCTCCTCTCTCTGCCACGTACCTCCTTGATGTCTTCAGAGCCCCCCAGGGTTTCTAAGCTCAGGGGGCTCCTCCTGCACACATCCTCGGAATCCCCAATATCTGTTTCGGGGAACTGTGGAGGAAGAGGGAGAAGGGTGAGGGGAGAGAATGCGTGGCATCTGCCACACAAGCAGGTCTCTGCCCCAAGGAAGCTACAGTAGGAGGCTGACAAGGGGGAGGGTGTCAGCATGAGGAAGAGGCAAAAGCCTTTCCAGGAATGTCATCCTGGGGCTCTGGCTTGTATCTGACACCAGCCATGCTCAGAGTAGACCCATTGACATGAATGAGAAGGAATAACTCTGGCCCATGACTCTGAATGGGTCTATGCTGGGTGGAAGCTAATGGGATCGAAGCCACACGGAACAAGGGGGTTTCAAGAAAGAATGATTGTAGCAGAGGGAGAAAGAGAATGCTTATTATACATTTAGTAATTCAAGTGTAGGGACGTGGGTGGCGCTGTGGGTAAAAGCCTCAGCACCTAGGGCTTGCCGATCGAAAGGTCAGCGGTTCGAATCCCCGCGGCGGGGTGCGCTCCCGTTGCTCGGTCCCAGCACCTGCCAACCTAGCAGTTCGAAAGCACCCTCGGGTGCAAGTAGATAATTAGGGACCGCTTACTAGCGGGAAGGTAAACGGCGTTTCCGTGTGCGGCTCTGGCTCGCCAGAGCAGCGATGTCACGCTGGCCACGTGACCCGGAAAGTGTCTCCGGACAGCGCTGGCCCCTGGCCTCTTAAGTGAGATGGGTGCACAACCCCAGAGTCTGTCAAGACTGGCCCGTATGGGCAGGGGTACCTTTACCTTTACCTTTTAATTCAAGTGTCATAAGCAGCTCATTCCCAAATATAAAAACAAGTAACACAAACATTAAAATGCAAAAGATGAGCATTTTTAAGCACATTAAAACATTTAAACTCAAGGCACCCATAATTGAAACACCAGAATAAAATAAGGACTCAAAACACCCTTAGCAACTTCCCATTAGCAATAGAGACTGGTCCCCTCACCAGTTTCCCAGCCATTGATCTTCAGGTTTTGCTCCGACTTTCTCGCTGTCCCCAGATTTTCCGATTCTGTCCCAGCCCAACCTAGCCACTCACAGGCTGCTGACCCAAGGCTGGGGGGGGGCACTCAACTGCACAGTGAGGCTGGGATTCTGAGCCAATGTCATAGACAGGTTCCGACCAGTCCACTTCCTCTAAGGGGTGGGGGGACACCTGTTTCCCCTTAGGGTGAGCGCTTAACACACCACCCCAGAGAAAAAGAAGAAAAGCGGGGAAATCTTTTAGTTCTGTAACAAGAAAGAATGAGTGCCAGGAGTTTTCTTTCCCCTGCCCTCCTCCATTCCAGCCCCTTTTCCTTTTGTGGACTGTCTTATCGCTGGTACTTATAGAATCATAGGGTTGGAAGGGACCCAAGGGTCATCTAGCCCAACCCCCTGCAATGAGGAATCTCAGCTGGTTCATTCATAACAGATGGCCATCCAACCTCTGCTTAAAAAGCTCCAAGGAAGGAGAGGCCGCCACCTTCCTAGCTAGTCCATTCTCCACTCTCGGACAGCTCTTTCTGTCAGAAGGTTCTTCCCGATGTTTGGATGGAATCTCCTTTCTGGTAACTTGAAGTCATGGGTTCGAGTCCTACTCTCCAGAGCAGGAGAAAACAAGCTTGTTCCCTCTTCCATGTGACAGCCCTCGAGATATTGGAAGATGGCTCTCAGTTTCTCCAGGCTAAACAAACCCAGCTCCCTCAACCATTCCTCATAAGGCTTGGTTTCCAGACCCCAGAATAGGGCTTGATCTTGGAAGCCACTGGTATTAGTATTAAAGGTAACACTAATCACAATAAGAAAGATAGTAATATTAGGGAAGTTTTTAATGTTTAATGCTGTGTTGTGTTTTTAATATTCGGTTGGAAGCCACCCAGAGTGGCTGGGGAATTAATAAGTTAATAATAAATTATTATTGTTATTATAGGCATTGTTAACAATTGTTTTTAAGAACATTGTTCACACATATTTATACTGCTTAACTGTGTGTACATTGCAATCACTTATTCATTTTTGTGCGTAGTCATTTTAAGTGCATTGTTAATATAAGAATAAATGTGCAATACTGTTAAAATGCATATCTTCATAAAATATAAACACATAAATAAATGAAGTATCCTATAGTACAGTAATTCAGTGCTTGGATAATATAATATAATATAATATAATATAATATAATATAATATAATATAATATAATATAATATAATATAATATAATATAATATAATATAATATAAATACATTCCCTTCCCCCCAAATTAATATTTCATTACTAATTACCGTAATATTCGTACTACTGTAATAAAAAAAGAAGCAAAGCCAGAGGCTCCTCCCAGCTTCCCGTTGCCCCGCCCACTGGGCGTGACCACCCCGCTAAACCCCGCCCCGCCCCGCTTTCCGCTTCCCCAGTTCCACTCTCCCCGCCTCCTTTCCACAATGCCTCTCCCGGATTGGCCCGGGCGGACTGCCACTCCCGCGGGCGCCGGAGCTCCCCGCTCCCCTCTTCCCTCTTGCCCCGCCCTCCCCGCCCCTCGGCCTCGCCCCGCGCTGATTGGCCGAGACGGGGGCGTAGGGGGCGTGGCTCGGCGGGCCTAGCCGGAGGCGGCGCGGCGGCGGCGGCAGAAGCAGCTGGAGGAAGGAGCGCGCCGGAGGGGAGGGGTGAGTTCTCAGCGTGGTCGGCGCGGGGCGCGCATGCGCACGGGGCAGCTGCCCCACTCCTCACCTAAGGTGGGAAATGGGGGGGGGAGGAGTAACTGACATGGACCCCCCTCTTAAAAAGTGCATCTTTAATGTTATGATGAGTTAATTTTGGTAGGGGGAGTCGAAAGCTTATTGCCCCCCTCCATAGTTTGTCTCCCATAGGTTAGGGGGCTTAAAGTCTGTGGCTCTGACCCCTCCCCATTTGAAAGGCCAATTCCAACCCCCCCCCCACTTGAGGGGAGGGGAAGGCTTGTTTCCTGGCCTCCCACCCCCCGGGTTGAAATTGGTTGGGGGCTTATGCCCTTGGTGATATATTGGGGGGGGTTATAAATGTGACACCCCCCCAATCTGAAATCAGGGAGGGGGTTAAAGTAAGGGGGTAGAGAGCTTAATCGCTCCCCTTGCTGTCTGACAGAAGGGAGGATCATATGGTTAATTTCTGTCAACCCCCCCCCATGGGATTGAAAAGGGGCAAGGAGCAGTCTCTGAGGTACGGATTTTGGGGGAGAAAAGGTAACTCTCCCTACAGTTTGGGGGGTCCAGAGGTTGAGTCCCTCGCCTCTTCACAAGAGCTGAGATCCTTTTTGTGTGTGTGTGTGGGGGGGTAGTTGTCAAAAACCCCACAACCCACCCATTAGGAAAGATCTGTCTCTAAAAGTGAATTGGCTTCCTCGTTTCTCTTCCCAGTGCCCCACCCTGCCCTGCAAGCTAAGGGGCAGGGGTCTTATCAAGCCTGAGTGCTTATGGGCGTTTTTCGGTGGGTTGGGGGGTGGGGAGATCAGATGTTAACCTTCGGACTATCAACCCCCTGGTATGACTCCCCCCCCACAAAATAAAAAGTTTCCTTGCCATGTTCCCCCCCCCCAACAGGTAGAGAATTGAACGTCCTCTGTGGGCATCGAGGGGTTAATTCACCCCCCAGACTTAATTATACATTAACTCTGCTTGAAGGGGGGCAGAAAAAAGGCTAAGTTCTGCTCCCTCCCCATTTGCCTGCTTGAAAAGCGGGGGGGGGGGGGGGTTGAAAACACTCAAGCTTTCAAGGACTCGGGGAAATTTCAGTTCTAGGGTGGGGGGGCGTGGAAGGTGACTTTGTTTTCCTGGTCAGAGTTTGAGGCTGGGGAATAGAGAGCAACTTTGAGGCTCCTTCGAAGGACAAAAAATGGGAGGTTTCTTTCTTTAGGTGTGGGTACAGTTTTTAAAAAGGGTTTTGGCTTCTTTTCTCCTTGGCATTCCTCCCATCCACTCCAAATTTATTTATTTAAAGTATTTATAAGCCAGTTTTGGGGGTAAAAAAAGAGATACCTCTTCCGACCGTCAATGTATGCAAAGTTATTTTTTAAAAAGAAATATTCTGCCCCTTGATGCCTTGCCTTTTTCAGCTAAAAATGTATAATATATATATGGGTTTGTATATATGAACTGTTTCTCAAGAGAGACGGGTGCCAACAAAACACCTCTCTATAATGGATACAGTTGTACCTTGGTTTTAAAATTCAGTCCGTTCCGGGAGTCAGTTCAACTCTGGAATAGTTAGAAAACCAAGGGGCAGCTTCTGATTAGCTTCCGAAAATGATTTGAAAGCCGGAACAATTACTTCTGGTTTTTGATTGTTGGGGAGCCAGAACGTTTGAGTTCAAAGGCATTTGGCTTCCGAGGTTCCACAGTACATGAGAGAGAGAGAGATTGAGAAATATCTCTAGCACAGCTGGAATGTACAAAGGTTAAGAGCCTCAAACATTGCTCTGCCGGTCTCCTTTGGGTTGAAAAAGCTGCTCACTGATGGGAAAAAAGCATAGAAACGTATTGTCCACCCCCCTGAAATGCAGGAATCTGTCACCCAATGTGGGGCTTGAACCCTCAACCCAGGGATTGAGAGACTAATGCTCTACCAATCTAGCTATCCAGCCTCAAGTAAGATCTTAAAACTGGGGGGGGGGGCATTTGCTTGTTGGAGGAATGCACCGTACTGGGAGAGACTGGCCAATGGCCTGATTTGGAATAAGGCAGATTCACCTATTGGAATCCTTGGTTTCCTTGGGCAAAATATTGGTGGGAATTCACGCCCATGGCCCTCTGGGTGTTGTAGTTCTCCAACTCTCAGCAGCCAGAAATGGTCAGGGGCGATGTTGGGAGTTGAAATTCAGCAAATAGATGTGGGGGGTGGGGAGATCAGATGTTAACCTTCAGACTATCAACCCCCTGGTATGACTCCCCCCCCCCACATAATAAAAAGTTTCCCTGCCATGTCCCCCCCCAACAGGTAGAGAATTGAACGTCCTCTGTGGGCATCGAGGGGTTAATTCACCCCCCAGACTTAATTATACATTAACTCTGCTTGAAGGGGGGGGGGCAGAAAAAAGCCCCTCAGCAGCCAGAAATGGTCTGGGGCGATGTTGGGAGTTGAAATTCAGCAAATAGATGTTTTCTCCTCTTGGTTATCCTCTCCAAAGTATATGGGAAGAGTTTATAGTAAAATAGCAGGAGAGTCCTAGCCCAGCAGGACATCTGCTCTGCGTGCAGAAGATCGCAGGTTCAGTCCCAAGCATCTCCAGGTAGGACCGGGAGAGCTGCTGCCCGTCAGTGTAGGTGATACTGAGCAACGTGGACTAATGCAAGGTCTGGCTCTGCATAAGGCAGCATATCAAGTTTCTAGATTGCAAAAAAATAAACCAACATCAAGCTGCTTGCTGAGGTCCCAGGTTCACTTCCCAGCATCTCCTGATAGGACTGGGGATGTCACAGAATCAGAGATTACATAGATTGGAAGGGACTCCAAGAGTCATCTAGTCCAACCCCCTGCAAAGCAGGAATCTCAGCTGAAACATCCATGACAGATGGCCGTCCAACCTCTGCTTTAAAACCTCCAAGGAAGGAGAGGCCACCACCTGTTCCTCTTATTATCAGAAAGCCTTTCCTGAGGCTAATTCAGAAACTCCTTTCTTGTAACTTGGAGCTACTGGTTCGGATCCTACCCTCCAGAGCAGGAGAAGACAAGCTGGCTCCCTCTTCCATGTGACAGCTCTTGAGATATTTGAAGATGGCTCTCCTCTTTTCTAGGCTAAACACCCCCAGCTCCTTCAAGCGCTCCTCATCAGGCTTGGTCTCCAGACCCTTGGTCATCTTGGTCTCCCTCCTCTGCACACCTTCCAGCTTGTCAAGATCCTTCTTAAATCGTGGTGCCCAGAACTGGACAGAGCATTCCAGGTGTGGTCTGACCAAGGTAGAACAGAGTGGGACTACGACTTCCCTTGATCTGGACACTAGACTTCTGTTGATGTCCCCTGGATCAAATGGTAGAGAACCAGTGCAGACCATATTGACCTAGACAGACGAGCGCTCTGACTCTGTAAGCTTCCTGTGTCCC